AAAAGAAAAATGATTTTTTTCAATGTTAATGGAAATAATAGCATATTTGAACGTAGTTTTTAGTTCTGATCAACTAATACGACTGAAAAAAATGTATATCTGATAGTTGTATTTTGGATTTTAGAACGTGGAGACGTCTAACTCGCAGCCCAGCAGATAAGACCTGAAGATGGTACATGAGATTGTACCGAAACGTCGTCACATACGGTTCTTTTAAGAACCAAAAACCGACAACACGGAGCAGATCCCGAAAAACCACTCCTATATATATATATATATATATATATATATATATATATATATATATATATTAGGGTGATTCATTTCCGCAAAGTTTTTGTTTTCTTCGGTGCTCAAGCAAAATATTAATCTGCATATAGAAAAAAAAATTCTTAACAAGTTTGAGCTCTTAATATCAATTTTAAGTACTTGCAGTTTAAATTTAAAGTTTTCCCATTTAAAATGCATGTAAAAAAAATGTTTTTTTTTCAAATTTCTAATGCTTATCCACCTTTGACAATATTGCAAATCGGTTTAATACACCTTATGGGGAATTCCACGCTCTTTAAAATTGCTTTTGAGGTTTTTTTTGTAACTCGCATTGGTTCACCAGTAGGAGTCGTCAAAGGACAGTTTTTTAAAGAAATCGGTTTTTTTTTAATTTTTTTTAACAAACCGCAAAAAGTAGGGAGAAAAGTTTTTGTTTTCTTCGGTGCTCAAGCAAAATATTAATCTGCATATAGAAAAAAAAATTCTCAACAAGTTTGAGCTCTTAATATCAATTTTAAGTACTTGCAGTTTTAATTTAAAGTTTTCCCATTTAAAATGCATGTAAAAAAAATGTTTTTTTTTCAAATTTCTAATGCTTATCCACCTTTGACAATATTGCAAATCGGTTTAATACACCTTATGGGGAATTCCACGCTCTTTAAAATTGCTTTTGAGGTTTTTTTTGTAACTCGCATTGGTTCACCAGTAGGAGTCGTCAAAGGACAGTTTTTGAAAAAAATCGGTTTTTTTTAATTTTTTCTAACAAACCGCAAAAAGTAGGGAGAAAAAAGGGCTGAATCATAAAAAAAAGTTATCCAACCAATATGAATTTACAGCCATTTTTATAACTGAAAACGTAAGAAATTGATAATTACCAACTCATAATGTTATTTAGATTGATTTTTTCTATTTATTATCATTATATTTTCCTACACTAAGAAGTTTTTTAAAATTATTAATTTCTCACTTATAATGAATATGAAAACAACAGATAAATTCATAAAAAAATAGCAAAAAAATATAAATGAAGATTATTTAATTTTTTGAAGCGAAATTTGAAATATGTATGTGTTATTTTCATATTCATTATGAGTGAGGGAAATATAATGATAATAAATAGAAAAAATCAATCTAAATAACATTATAGGTTGGTATTTATCAATTTCTTACGTTTTCAGTTATAAAAATGGCAGTAAATTCATTAAATATTGGTTGGATAACTTTTTTTTTATGAATCAGCCCTTTTTTCTCTCTACTTTTGGCAATTTGCTCGAAAAAATAAAAAAAAAAAGATTTTTTTCAAAAACTGTCATTTGACGACTCCTACTGGTGAACCAATGCGAGTTACAAAAAAAAACTCAAAAGCAATTTTAAAGAGCGTGAAATTCCCCATAAGGTGTATTAAACCGATTTGCAATATTGTCAAAGGTGGGTAAGCATTAGAAATTTGAAAAAAAAAACCATTTTTTTACATGCATTTTAAATGGGAAAACTTTAAATTTAAACTGCAAGTACTTAAAATTGATATTAAGAGCTCTACCTTGGTGAAAATTTTTTTTTCTATAGGTAGATTAATATTTTGCTTGAGCACCGAAAAAAAACAAAAACTTTGCGGAAATGAATCACCCTAATATATATACAGTGTGGCCCACTTAAGATGGAAACACCTCCGTAACTTTTTTATTTGTAACCCGATTTTATTGAACAAAGGCTCAAAAGATAGAGAATAAAAAACTATATTAGAGCTGTTAAAGTTGTTTTCAAGGTCACCCGACACATGCCTACTATAATTTTTTTTCTGTGTCAAAATTAAAAAAAAACATTTAGGGTAATTTTTACGAAAAAAATAAGTACGCCACTGAATTTGGCATGCTTAAAAATGGGTAAATACCAAATTTCATTAAAAACAATCGATTGATAATTATTTTACAACGGTTTATTTATTGATTTTTTAAATGTTTATAACGACATGTCGCGACAATAGAAACACATATAAAAGGTTTAGGAAAAAAATAGGTACGCCACCGAGTTTGGCAGGCTTTAAAATGGGTATATACCAAATTTCATCAAAAATAAACAATTAATAACTATTTTGGGCAAGTTTATTTTTTTACGTTATAATCATTAATAATTAATTATTGCTACAAAACAAAAACTAAGATAGCTATGCTTACAACTTCAAACAAACGTCAAACCAAAAACAGGCGATTTGACAGAAAATAGTAGCGTCCTTTTTGTGTATTTTTTAACAGTTTATTTAAACTGCAAACTACAATCATTATGGCCCCTAGTTTTTAGAGCACAAAGTTGAAATAATTTCGTTATCTCCTACTAAACGGACAATTATTGTCCATTTATTAGGAGATAACGATCGTTCAGCGAGAGAAGCAGAGAATTTAATAATAGGCAACCTGAAAGGCAGCCTATAAGCAGTAGTACTTTTTTAAAATCAATAAGCTATTTAATGAAACTGGTATGGTTTTAAAGAATTTAAGAAATAATAATCCACGTCAACAGCAAAGACAAAATGATCAAATAATTCTGAATTATTTTAATGACAATCTTCAGATAATAATAAGTTTAAGAAAAGCGAGCTTAGATTTAAATATTTTAAAGAAATTCTTAAGAAGATGTTTAAAAATTAGTAAAGTAAAACTAAAATTTTTACACACCCAACAGCCAGGAGATAAATTCATGTTTAAAAATCAAATTTCAAAGTGGGACTTTATGGTGTTAACGGTAGTATATACCAAATTTCATCAAAAATAAATAATTAATATTAGTCATAAATTGCTACAAGGTTGTTACCTAAGTTTATTTATTTTTTTAAACAATATTTTATAACGAGCAATAGAACATAAAAAAGAAAACTAAACCCGGGAAGCTTCCACTAGTCCACCATTTAATTCAATACACTTATTAAATCTACGTAAAATATTCTTTTGGACTCTTCTCAATTGCTGTGGAGTTATTTCCTCACAGGCGTTGCGTATGACGGATCAAGATCTGCAATGTTCTGAGGACGTAATTTATAAACTTTGTTTTTTATGGTACCCCATAAAAAAAATCTAAAGGAGTGAGATCGGGAGACCTAGGAGGCCATTCGATTAATGGGCTATTGCGACCTATCCATTTATTTTCAAAATTTAAATTTAACCATTGCCTCACATTAACTGAATTATGAATCGGACAGCCGCGGCTAGCCGTCTAATTGCAAAAAACTTTGACCATTTAGATTTCCATTTAAAAAAAAAGGTCCTATGACCCTATCTTTTAGAATACCCACGTTTACTTTTTGTGAGTACTGACTTCTACAATTAATCTGGATTATTTACAGACCAATGTCTAATATTTTGAGATGAGACTACTCCATTAGTAGTAAAGGTTGCTTCGTCAGTAAATAATACATGTTTAAAAAAAATTGGGTTATTGAGATATTCGCCCTGTGCCCATAGACAGAACTCCAATCTTCTTTCATTATCCCCTGGAGTGTGTAAAAATTTAGGCTTGCAAGGTTTTACTTTATTAATTTTTAAACATCTTCTTAAGGATTCTTTTGAAATATTTAAATCTAAGCTAGCCTTTCTTAAACTTACTTTCGGATTGTTATTAAAATAGTTCAGAATTATTTGATCATTTGGTCTTTGCCGTTCAGCCACATTCAGTGGCGTACTTATTTTTTTCGTAAAAATTACCCTAAATGTTTTTTTTTTTAATTTTGACATAGAAAAAAAATTATAGTAGGCATGTGTCGGGTGACTTTGAAAACAACTTTAACAGCTCTAATAGAGTTTTTTATTCTCTATCTTTTGAGCCTTTGTTCAATAAAATCGGGTTACAAATAAAAAAGTTACGGGGGTGTTTCCATCTTAAGTGGGCCACACTGTATATAATATAGTAACTATATTTTGTAACATGATTTATATCTTCTCACAAAAATGCATTTTAAACTTTTAAATTTATTTGTCAAAATGAAATTTTTGGACTTGTACTGTGTTTTAATCTCACCGATTCAATTATGATAATGTTTATTTTGACCATTTCTTTGAATCAATCGACCGGATCCTTTTTTGAGTCAAAATATGCCAACAAATCTTTTCAACAGCCAAAAATAAGTCACAAGATAATATTGCAATAACAGCACAGCATCAATGTTTTTTTAAACAACAACCTTAACGAAATTCGTCATCTAATAACACACATTTAACTATGGTAACGATTAAATGTATACTTGAAAACTAATCTTAACTTACAATGTTTATAAATGTATGTTATGTTGTTTATTATTTCTACATACCGTTTTTTATACCAAGCTATTTGAATGTTATTTTTTTAATTTAAACCTGACTAATGTTTATTACTTATTATTATTATTTTATCCATCTTCTTTCTTTCTCTATGAACATACGTCAAAATGTTCTAAGTAGGTACTTTAAGTAGTTCTTTAGTTCTTAAAATGTCAAACTTTAAGAGGCAAATGTCAAATTTTACGTATCAGCTCTATAGTGTTGTCTATTATTGAAATGTAAATAGCAACCCTTGTAGCAAATTTAAATTAAATTCTTTAGAATTTTAATTGAGTTGTCAAGTATAAATGTTGACGGAAGAAAATTTAAGATATTTTAAACGAGTCTTAAAAATAACGAAGATAGAGAATTCGAAAGGAGTGTAACGGCATATTTTTGGTGGCAATTAAATTGATGTTAATGTTAATTGAAGATCGTATTTACCTGTCCAGAGCGATAGCAACTAGATGTAGGATGGAAGCAGTACAACAAAGGACGTCGCTTGAAGTCCACATATCGCACAGTTCTGGCCCCAGTCGCCACTCCTGACTGACTTCGTACACGGCTCCCAAAGGCATGACCAAACATGCCACTAGAAGATCTGCCACCGCAAGTGAGAGAATCAAGTAGTTGGCCACGTTTTGCAGGTTACGCTCCAGAAGGATTGCTGCTATCACAAACACGTTTCCTGGAACAAAAAAAATTGTTATTATTTATTATTCAAATTGAATTGTTAACTACATTAATTTGAGATTATTATTACATGCATAAAATAAATAGTATATTAGACTAGAATCTTGTATTTGTCAACGAACCCCCAATAAACAAACGTTGTTTCATTTAACAGGGTTTAAGTGAATAATATGTATGTATCTGTGGAGGCCCAGCGAAAACAGCATTTTTTGGGTAGTAAGCACGAATTAAAAAAAAGCAAAGACACATAAACTTCAGTTTCATCCTGTAAAATAGATTTAACTTCGCGCAGTGGTCACAACACCTAAAACTTGAATAGCCATGGTAAGGTGTTATACCTCATTTGAAAGGTCTTGCTCCTCGAGATATTTTAAGTTCGTGGCAACAGCGCACTGCCTTTTATATTCGAATAAAAAAGTACAGATAATATAAGGACATGGCAAAAAATCGTGTAGAAAAACTTTCGAATTATGAAAAGCCCTTAGGACTCTTTTAAGTTTTAAGTTTACAGTATTGTCGAAAGAGTTGAAATGATCATCTTTTTTTTTAAACAGTGAGTGTGAAAATCATCCAGCAGATTTATTCAATATACACCATCTGCCAGATGGCATCTGGATAGGCAAGTGAATTTTGTTTTGAAGTGGTGGTAAAGTTACGAGAAACAGGAGATAAAGCGAATAAAAAATGGATTCTTGGACCTGAACGTGAACGTCCAGTCAGGAATGAAGCTGCAAGTCAACAAAACTTTGAGTGGGTGCCAATTTGGATTTCGTAAGAATAGCTCAACTACGGATGCGGTTCTTGAAGTGATGTGTCACATACTCGAGGGCCTTCAAAAGGGTGAGTCACACATAATATTCTACTGGAGAAGCTAAGTCTCTATAGTATTAGAGGCATTTCTATATCTTTATTTAAATCGTATCTATCGGATAGATACCAATGTGTAAACGTAAACAATGGGTTATCAGACACACAACCTGTAATGCATGGCGTATGTATATGTGGGGCAAAATTTGCCAAGTGTACCAGGTGAAAAAATTTTTGTCACCGACTTTACTTATTTGTTGTTCTTATAACGAAGAATCATAGCATAAAAATTTTTTGCTCTTGGATTGTTCATTCAAGAGTTATGGATTATTGAAATTTATCGATTTATTACTTTTTGGTGAAATCGCTTTTTATTTAAAAATTCATAACTTCTGTTCATCTCTTTATTAAATATTTCAATTTAACCACCTTAAATGATTTTTTCTGTACTTTTAAATGGGCTATACCGTTTTTGCAAAAAAAAAATGCAATTTTTTTTTGAAATTTTGCAATATTTTGAATTTTTTTAAACAATGTGTATTTTTTATTTTTTTTTAAATTAGCATAAAATCGAAGTTTATTATGTTACCTTTAAATAAAAAAAATTTTTAGAGTGGGCCCGACATGTAGAAGGTAAGTTTTTCATATTTGAATGCGTGCGGGTCTAGCCATCGAATAGCTACTACACTGCCGTATGCGTTTATACCTAGTAAATGCGAGTAAACGAATACAAAATGATAATTTAAAATGTAAAACTACTCTCTAAAAGTGAAACAGTGAAATTTTCACTATTTCCGTCAGTGAGTTATTATTCACTGTAAAATTAGTGTTTTTCAATATAAATTAGTGAAATTTTAACTTCTTCAAATTAGTATTTTTTATTATCACTACTTTTCCGGAACTCTCGACATAAAATAGTGAAATTTTAACTTTTTTGAACTAAACTTATTTCACTAATTTGTACAGTGTAATTTCCACTAAATAAATTAGTGCAAAGAAATCGCTACATGAAAAAGTGAGTATTCACTAATTGCTAGTGGTATACTTATCACTGCGGTAAATAGTTAATATGCACTGTCAATCAGTGAAAATCCACTGTTTCATTTTTAGAGAGTATGTTTGAGTAATGTCTATAAACGGTTTTTGCTGTCATGACGAGCTCTAAACATTCGCCGTACGGACATTACTTACTTTTTAATCCGTAACGGTCAGTCAGAATATTTGTGTTGCCAAATATGATTTTTTTTAATTTAATTAATTACAGATTAAAATATGATTTGTAGATTTCGTAATTCGGAGGATTTTTGGCGGATATTACTAGAATAATGTTAATTTTTATTTTTGTGGCTAAAGTAAAATACAGAAAGAATAAAGTGTTGGTGTTGTTATTCTTCAATTTTTCGCCCTACCATACTTTTAAATTAAATTAAAAAAATCATATTTTAATCTGCCGATTGGCAACACAAATATTCTGACTGACCGTTACGGTTTAAAAAGTAAGTAATGTCCGTACGGCGAATGTTTAGAGCTCGTCATGACAGCAAAAACCGTTTATAGACATTATATATTATTAACGCCATTGACCTATTCAGCTTATAGGCAAGCCGTTACGGTTATAACAATAAATTTTTTATTTAATATCATCGATCCTCCTTGCGAAATCTATGTAGACCCATGCTTAAACAATTTGTGCAAAAAAATACAGTTAAAAAACTATATCGTGCGGCAGTGTAAATATTTAAAATATATCATTGACTACTTAAACATAATTTTACATTTTAAATTATCATTTTGTATTCGTTTACTCGCATCTACTAGGTATAAACGCATATGGCAGTGTAGTAGCTATTCGATGGCTAGACCCGCACGCATTCAAATATGAAAAACTTCCCTTCTACATGTCGGGCCCACTCTAAAAAATTTTTTTATTCAAAGGTAACATAATAAACTTCGATTTTATGCTATTTTTAAAAAAATTAAAAAATACACATTGTTTAAACAAATGCAAAATATTACAAAATTTCAAAAAAAAAATTGCAATTTTTTTTTGTTTGCAAAAACGGTATAGCCCATTGAAAAGTACGGAAAAAATCATTTAAGGTGGTTAAATTAAAATATTTAATAAAGAGATGAACAGAAGTTATGAATTTTTAAATAAAAAGCGATTTCACCAAAAAGTAATAAATCGATAAATTTCAATAATCCATAACTCTTGAATGAACAATCCTAGAGCAAAAAAATGTTATGTTTTGATTCTTTGTTATAAGAAAAACAAATAAGTAAAGTTTAAACAAAATCGGTGACAAACATTTTTTCACCTGGTACACTTGGCAAATTTTGCCCCATATATGCTTTGCTTTTGCAGACGATACCACGAATATAAATAGCCATAAATGTCAGTATCAAGCACTACAGCTTAGCAGAGATGGTGAAAGCAAAGCAGAACAGTGGTTTACTTCAAACAAATTAAAGATGAATACAGATAAAACTCAGAGACTCAGCTTCTCCACAAGCGTGACCCCGAATAACCGGGATAGTGTGCGACTCTTGGGACTATTTATCGACAATAGACTCGATTGGTCCTGCCACTTACAATACCTTTGCAAAAAGCTATCTAGCGCAATTTTTATATTAAGACAATTAAAAAATCAGTGTTGATGAATATTCTCCGGATAAGCTACTATTCTCTATTTTACTCGCACATAAGCTATGGTACGGTTGTCTGGGGAAATTCTAGCTATGCCATGACAGATTTTCGACTACAAAATAGGGCTATAAGACTGATATGTAATGTAGGATATAGGGATCCCTGTAAACAGTTATTTATAAATCTTTGCATAATGCCTCTACCAACAGTGTATATTTATCATACACTGCTCAAAATCCATGAAGACAAGAGTCTATTTATCTGTGGAAATGATATCCATTTTTACAACACCAGATTTAAATTACAGATTAGAGCTCCTAAATACCGACTCTCCAAGGTCTCAAAAAATTCACTTAATATAAGACTGTACAACGTCTTCCCTGTAGAGGTTAAATCACTTGCATATATTAAATTTAAGAAAACTATAAATAGTAGATTATGTCATAAGGAGTAGAAGTGACTCTTTTTGTGGTGAGTACAGAGATTGACGGCCGAAGCGTAGCTGAGGCTGACAACTGTACGAAGCACAAAAAGAGCTTCTACTCCAAATAACATATACAATTTTTTTTTCAAGGGCGTAATATATGTAAATAGGATAAGAAATAGAATTATTTTATTTACTCATAACTCATGTGGTATAAAATTTTGGCAAAAGCATTAGAAATTATTGATAAAAACTAAAAAAAACTTATAACCCTTACTTACAATGCCCATAAATTTCCTAAACTAAAAATAAACACTGCTGTGTCAAAATGCTGAGCTTGAATTAATTTTGACGTACTGACATTTGTTTATAGTTCCGACATTGGCGACTCGTCTATCATCATAATATTATACTAATAAACTAGTTTTTCTTTATTTCATTCAATTAAAATTTAATAAATAATGACTAAATATTCCGTGCGATTATAATTAATATAATTATTACATCGTGATTGCTTTGTATGAAATGCTAAATTAATTTTATTATTGGGCGTCTATTGAGACACCTATGGATTTACTTCTATCCCTAGGCTTTTTTGAGTTTTTGTCTGCCGCTAATGAAAAAGACGCACTTCAACTATCTCTATACAGGCATATAAGGTTGTATATCATGGCCGCTTGAAAAAAAAGACTATTTATTAAGTCATTGCTTTTACTCTGTACAAGAATACCTGGATACTGTGACATAATGTGATAATGTTTATTTTTCATGTATTGTATTGTACCTATTTTATTTATTATGTGATTTCGTACTTTATTATGTAATATATGTAACTTGTTATAGTTTAACACACTTGTACTGACTTGCCAAAAATTTCATAAACGTGGCCAATAAAGATTGATTTGATTTGCAAAGGTAGGTGTTTTAGGACAATTTGTTGCTGATCCAACGGATCCTGAGCTCTCATAAATTTAGTCCATGAATTAAATAAGGATGATTTTGACAGGCGACTGGAGTTTTGAAAACTATGAATGAACGAATAGAGATAATAATGACAACTTGCTTTTCAGCATCTGTTTTACAGATGAGTGAACGTAACCGTCAATGGCTATAATTG